TACTCAGCTAGCTATCTCTATGTCTTCAAGGCCAGGGCTTCTCCAGTTCACCCTCACCAGGGAGTATATCTTATTGTTTCTGGATTAGGTTAGGGCAGTATGTTACCCAGCTGTTTGGTTGGGAAGTGATGTGAAGGTTTACTGACTCCTGATATAGATTATCAACCAATTCTGTTGTTTTCAGCCTTTCTTCTCACTAATGCCTTCAGAGATCCCTGGGCCTTGGATTCCTGCTGATCTGGATCTGTATTTATGTTGTGACAAGGAATTTGGGGAAGGAGCAGAGATAAGTGCCTGTATTTAATCCACCATGTTGACCAGATTCACTGTTCTCATTCCAAACAGATAGATTTTCTCAACTCTTCCCAGACATTTCAAGTTGGAATCTTTGGAGGGTAAATTGAGGAGTATGTATTTTTGAAAATGTTCTCAGGTACTTCTGATGAAGCTAGTGTACTAATCCACATTTGGAAGTCATGACTCCAGCGCTAACACTCTGGTACACATTTGACAGTTACCTTTGAAGTCCCAGTGAACTAGGAAGAAGGGAATGAGGAAAAGGATAGGTAAATTCTGAGAAAAGGATGACATAAAAAGGGACAGGCCTTGAGTGATCCAGGGGCATTTTGGGGAGGACATATCTTGATTGGGGCTGTTGACAGTCATATTTCTCAATGGTGAGCAGGGCAGGGAAGCAGGGGAAGCAGTATCAGAGTGCTAGAGGACAGCCAGTCTTTTGCTAGGAGGGAGGGTTGTGAGATGGCGTTAATGGATTTGAGATCTAGTTTGAAGACAGAATAGAAATTTTCCTCCTCCAACTCTATTTCACCTTCTTTTCTCCCCTCCTTTATTTTCCTTGCACACATTTGTAAAATAAAGGAAGCCATGAAGTGAATTATGAGAAACTATTAAACAGGGAAATGGGAGAGGAGGGTGTAAGTGGTGGAGAGACAGGATAAGGAAAGAACTTTTAAAATAATTTTTAAAAAAGATTTTATTTATTTGTTTGTTTGTTCATTTATTTAGAGTGGGGGAGGGAAGAACAAAAGGGAGAGGGAGAGAGAGAATCTCAAGCAGACTCCCCACTGAGCATGGAGCCTCACAGAGGGCTCCATCCCATGACCCTGAGATTATGACCTGAGCTGAAGTCAAGAGCCAGTCACTTAACTGACTGAGCCACCCAGGCGCCCCTAAAATAATTTTTAATTAATTGCTGAAGGTTTGACATCCACGTTATTATATTCATTTGTCCAGGTAAGTAATGTTATTAGAACAGACAAAAATTGGTATTTGGTAAAATGGAATCTATACTAAGGACTTTTTTATCTATAGCTAGGCAATGCTGTGGCATTTTAAAAGTCTTGGTAGTACTTGGTATAGATGTAAATTTTAATGACAGAAGAGTCTCTTAAATCCTATGCTAACAACTTCAACTAAGATACATATCCCTCCAGGCCCTGTGGGGGTGTCTAGTATTTTATAAAGCCTATGGATCACATAGACAGGAAATTATTTTCCTTTATTATTCCATACTCTCTCTACTTTACAAGATGTAAGAAAAGTTGCATAGTATTTTTGAAATCAGATGAAATCAAGTGTTATTAAATTTGTTGCAATGCAAAGTGATAATTAAAACATATGGGAAATTTAAACTGGATTTGCTGTAATTGCTTTTTTCAGCTTCAAAAATGCAGTATAGGTTTTTGCCATATTCATTTACTTCAAGTACATTCACTCAAAATTGCATTTCTTAGCACAATGCTTGGCATATGGCAAGCAGTTTTTAAGTTTCTTGAGTGAATAGGTGAGAGCCAAGAAAATTGTTGAGGAACTGGAAAGATTCTTACTGTTTTCAGAGATTTGAGTTCCTTATAAACATAAACAGGCACACACACAATGTATATCAAACCGTTCTAATTCACCATTAGACTTTTATTTGAAACTACTTTCTCCAAATATGTAATAACTAATTTACCAAACACATCTTTCTAGATTTAGATTCCCTTTATATAAAGATAGAGAAATCCTCAGGGTCTTGGAAAAGATATGCCTGGGCGGAGCAATCCCCAAAGCTGTTATTTTGGCTTTACCTAACTATTTAATGCACAGACATTCATGGATTTCATTTATATTGACACGATATATATCACAACATTTAATATTCACATAAAATTAATTTCCATTTTAAGAGGTTTATTCACATATGCTTTGTGCAGTTAGCAGTCACTACAAAATACATACCAAACATTAACCTTGTTATCATTTCTGATTCTATTAAAATGTATTTGTAATTCAGCAGTTAGGTATCATCTGAGATCATTTTTGAGAACAAATTAAAAGCTAAAATATAACAACTTTCCTTAGCTTCCTAGTCTCAATATTTTGGCCATAAGTATACGGGAAGATAGAATTAAAAACAAAATCTTCTCCCAACCCAGAAATCCTCTCCACAAAGGTAATTAAACCAGAATGTGATGTGCATTATAGGCAATTAGGAAAGAGATTGTAAAGACAGAAAGAAATTTCACCCCTTTGTATACCCAAGCAAATACAACCCATTACATAAGTTTTCAAGATAAACAATAACCAGTTCTCAAATAAGAGGCCTTGACAATACCATTTGCATGCATAATTCATCTTAATTTTATTTTGTAATTGGGGTGACCATCTGTGTTAACTAATCAGCTTTATCCAGAGGAAAAACAACCTTCTCATATCTTTATGACAGAAGGTAGTTTAGCAAGTTGGAGTGATTTGCCCACTGAAGTTAGAATCTTAGTTTCCCATGGAAAGTTATTTCCCTTTGCTTTTTATGGCAGTATAATTGACATAATATTATATTGGTTTCAGGTTTACAACATGATTCGATATTTGTATATATTGCAAAAGGATCACCATGATAAGTACAGTTCACATCTGAAACTGTACATAGTTATATGAGTTTGTCTTTTTTTTTTTTACTTGTGATGAGGACTCGTAAGATTTTCTACCTTAGCAACTTTCAAATATGCAATATAGTATTACTACTATAATCACCATGATGTATGTTACATCCCCATGGCATATTTATTTTATAACTGGAAGTTTGTGCCTTTTGATCCCCTTCATCCATTTCAGTTCTACCCCCAATCATCAATCTATGAGTTTTTTTTTTTTTTTTTTTTTTAAGAGTCCACATAAAGTAAGATCATTGGGTATTTGTCTTTCTCTGCCTGACTTATTTCACTTAGCACAATGTCATCAAGGTCCATCCTCAAGGTTGCAAGTGACAAGATTTCATTCTTTTTTTCTGGCTGAATCGTATCTCATTGGGTATATGTGTATCTATCTATATAGATATTTATAATTATATATCACATTTTCTTTATCCATTTCTGGGGGCTGGTATGTCTCTTGATGTTCACATTTCAGAGTGATATCTTGATATCTCCCAAGTCTTTAAAGACATTCCTGGAATGTAAAGCTGACAAAACATTAGCTGACAGAGACCTAACTAGTTTTAAAGAGGATGTATATACAATTCAAAGAAATAAGAATGTATTCAACAATTACAGGTTTTCTAAGACAAATGTTCAGAGAGAGGGGAATCTCTTCTCACATCTTTAAGAGAAAGAATTAAGCCTCTTACTTAAATTTTTTTTTTTTTTTGTCTTTACAGCATGTTTTGCTTTCTTTTGACTTTGAAACAGCGGACAAGAAAAGTCCAATTTAAGATTTGTTTATGTGTAGAGCTGTTCACTACGGTTAAACAACTAACACTGTCGAAAAAAAATATTCACCATTCCTCTTTGGCTTCCACGTAATTCAAAAGTTTTAGAGGGGGAGGGTGGAGATGGGGTTGACATTAATTTGCCCCAAGCAAAGAATGTGGTTCAACCAATGTACAGGATACAATGCCTTAAAAAGTCGGCTACAGGAACACACCCTCGAATAGTGACTAATAAAACCTATCATACTGTTACAGATCACCTAGTTATCTTTGTTTAGCTCACATTACTCATTTTACACTAAGTTCTTTTGGGGAAGGACGCTTCCGAAACAATCCTCACTGGAAGAGCAAACCAATTTGGGTTCTTCGCGCATTCTAGACTCTGGAAGAGGTAAGGGCTTATTATTACAGGGGACCACTCTCAGGACCTGCTGTAAGCTTAACAGCATCCATCCCAATTCCAGCATTGAGTGTCTAACCCTCTTTTTTAAAAGACAGTCTCAGGCACTGGGAATTACAGGAATGAGAAAGACACAGTTCCTGCCTTAGCCGAAAACCATTCTAAAAGTATCAATGTTATAGTTGATGCAACTAAAATGTACAAGAAAAGGTGAATGATTCTGAGGGTGAAAAGTGCGTATTCAGGGGTGCGGGGTCGCGGCCCCAAAGCGGCTTCCGTTCCTCGAGATTTCAGCACCCGGGATCGCCCAGCACCCCGCGGGCACACTTAACATTTTAGTCACGACTCCGCCCCCACCCTCCGAATTCCTTTCCGGCTGCCGACCGGCCGGGTAGTCCCTTCCAGACGGCCCCAGCTTATCACCCCCGGCCCGGCCACTTCCCGGTCGCGGCCAGGCGAGCCTCCCAAAGTTTCCTGTGACGCCGCCGTCCGCCTCCGGCCCCATCCCGCCCTCACTCCCACCCCCGCAGCCCTGGACGCCGGGTAGAGAGGAGCGGGGTCAGAGGGACCAGGAGGGCAGTACGAACAGGAGGACTTCGAGACCCTACCCGAGCTGGGTAGCGGACTCAGAGGGCGGCAGCCACAGGTCCACGCCTCCTTTCGCCGCGCCCGCAGACCCGGGTCCGCGCGCGCCCACCTGGCCTGGAGCCCGAATCCCACCCCTCCGGGTCCAGAGCCAATCGGCCGCGCCCCGCCTCCTGGGAGGTGGGGGAGGAGGGGGTTGGGGGCCGGGCGGCAGCTCCCGCCTCTAGCTCGTGCCCATTGGCTGGGGCCTCGAGGGTGCCCGAAGACCGGAGTGCAGTTTGATTGGCCACAGAGGCTCGTGACAGCGGCGCCCATTGGCTGTGGCAGCCCCCGTGACGCGGGGTGGCGACTGGCTCCCGGGTCTGAGGGGCTCCTGCTTGTCAGGTTCTAGGTAGGTGAGTTTCGCGCCGCCGGCGGCTGGCGCTGTTGCCCGGGGCAACGCCGAGGGAGGGGGGAAGAGGAGGGCAGGCAAGCGGAGAACGGGGGCAACACTCCCTGCCCGCAGGGGGGCGCCTGGGACTCAGCCCTGGCTGCGGCGGCTGCGCCGAAGGCTCTTCCTCCGCCCTCGGCCACCCCCACTCCCGCCCCAGGCTGCAGGGTCTCCCGCCCGCCCTCCACCCGCGGCAGAGCATTCCTGGTTGGGGCTCGGGCCGGGCTGCAGACCCGGCCCGGCGAGGCAGGCCCCTCCCACCAACCCGGGACTGGAGGCTGAGGGGGCGGGTGCCGGCGCGAAAGGGTTGAGGCGGGCGCGGCGGCCCCGCCCCGTCGCCGGGTCGGTGGGCTGCGGGGTGTGGGGCGGGGTAAGCGGTGCTGTTGGGCACCACCCATCACGCCCGTACACCCTTGTCTTCTAGCGCTCCTCTCCTGGCGCAGCCCTTCGGCTGGGGCTGCCACCCCCAACCCCTAGGTGTTCCCTCAATCCCATCCTACCTCTCGGGCCCTGAAGTCCCCTCTGACCCGCGCAGCCCGTCCCCAGACCATCTCCCATGCATCAGCCTCCCGACCTCCCGCTTTTATCCCCCACCTTCGATCTCTGCTCCTGTCTTGGCCAGAGGTGACCCCCAAGACATTGTCAAGAGAAAAACTGTTAAGTGTGAAGCTCATGCAACCGGGGCAGTTTCTGCTCTGTACTCTCTTGGCCATTTAGGGTTGAGGAGGTGTTTCGAGGCACCTCTGGGTTAGTTTTCTGCTCAGAGTCTTCTCGGTATCAACTTTCTGAAACGATAATTGTGTTGGTGTTGGTAGAGCCGGGCCGGGTACGTTGTGCACAAATTAACTGTGAAGTTGTCGTTTTTTACTTTGTACATTTGTGATCTTGATTTCTAGTGCAGTGCAGTCCCAAATCTAATAATTTATTAAGGCTGTTAGTCTTTCATTTTCGTTCGCCGTAATGGTTAAAAAAAAAAAAAAGCTGCATACATTCATAGTGGTCTGTCACTTTGACATTAACTGCTCTAAAGGTGCAGTCGTACCATTTTCCTCTTTCTCCAGGAATTCTAAGTTAATAAAACAATTTCCCCAGTGGAGTCACTATGTATAAAAGTGTTACGGAAAAACCAGTAAAATACCAAAACTATTTTAGTGATAAAAGACTAGAAAACACTTTTTAACCAATGGAATGGGAATAGGATTAAAAAAAAACCTTGCAAAATGTAATTATTTCAAGAGTGTAGTGTTGTAGTCTTGGTATACCTGTGTAGTCTTTAGAAAGAAATATTCAAGAACCACACATTTGTCAGAATGCAAAGGAAGGCTGAATGTAATCTTTTGTAATCCAGGAATCTTTTTTGCTAGTACTCTTGAACCAAGGGAACTATACTTCCAAAGGTACTGAGACTATATTAAGAGAGTATGTAGGCATACTTGGAAACCTTTTACCTGCCTTTTTTTTTTTTTTTCTTTTTTCCCCTGAATGGCCTTTGGTCAAGATCTGTTTCTCTTCTGCACTGATGGTAGGCAGCATTAAATATGTAACAGGTAAAATTATTTAGGGTCCAGTTAATGCAGCTTCTGCACTACTTTAAAGGTTGATGTCAGTAGTTTGGAAGTAAGAATTCACTTTTGGTAGACAAATCACTTTCATTTCATCTTCAACTATTACATAGTTATAACTCTGGTCTGTGAACTTTCAAGCTGCCATTTTATTTTCTCCTTTATTTTACTATGTATGAAAATTTTCAAACAATGAAGTAAGGTTGAATTGTACAGTAAATACCCAACCATCTACACAGCAATAACATTTCCCGGATAGCTGTTACAGAGAGTAAATATAAAGAAAAAGGGGCGGGTGCCTGGGTGGCTCAGTTGGTTAAGCGACTGCCTTCGGCTCAGGTCATGATCCTGGAGTCCC